GTTGTGTAAATATTAATTATGAAGATTGTAATATTCAGTGTTCATTATCACAGAAATTAGATGTTCGGGGTTTTTTTTAACTGATTTTTTTCAGATCATTATTATGTGGGACATTCTACCAGAAATGTACATTATCTGTCCTTGACTTGTTACAGTGAATAAAAAGTATTACATCCAAAAAATGTCTAAAACTGACTGATGGTTGATTTCTGTGAGTTGTTCTGTAAATGAATATGTCATTCATTAGGTTCTCAGATATTTTTTAATTTATTAAAAACACTTTCGAAAATTACAAATCCTGTTCTTGTCCTTGTCCCCAGCCAAATTGGACTTTCATAGTTTTGTTATGCTAAAAACTTATTTAGAAAAAAAAACTCCATCAATAAGTTTAAGTTTTTATCATTCACATCAACTGATTAAAAACATGAAATTATACATAAATTCTATTTTACAACTGTCCCCATATTTTCGGTCAGTCCTGTCACGTTTACATAAAACTCAACATAAACTGTGTGTAATTCGCCTTTAAAGGTATGACTCAAAGGAAGTGACATAATTTGACTGAGGTGAGGCTGACACTGATCAAGGCGGAGTTCTGTCATTGAATTGTATGATTTTAAGCTTGTTTTTGTATGATTTTTTTGAGGAGGACAAGCTAAAGGGTCAGCCCCTGTCACGGTAAAACATCCCAGAAAATAATGAATTTTTTTAAAATCCAAAACATGTCTAAAAAAGTTACTGAAATTCCTTGATTGCATGTCAACAGTTTTAATGCTAGCATGCTAGCAGGTTGAGTAATGGCCGTTTAAAATGGCCGACCGTCTGGCCCTGTCACATCCCTGTGTGTGAGGGCCTGACAGTCCTGTGACACTGCCTTACAAAAAAAAATAACTAATAATTACAGCTAACTAACACAATAAAAACATGATTACATAATAAAAAACATGATTTTTGAAAATTAAAAAAACTGAGGTATCTGTTTTTGCAAATAAACTCTTTATATATAGATGTAATTGTCATCTATATAAGCTTTATGTAATGAAGACTGTAATTATTCCAATTCATACAGATACCATGGTAATATCTACATTATTACCTAGGAAATTACATGCAATTTCCGTTATTACCATGTAATTTCCTAAGTAATAATGCAGATATTACCATAGTATTGCCCTGTTATTACTGAGCCGTAATATTATGTGGTACCACAGTTACTTTACTTTGTGCTATTCAGTTAAATGTCTATACATTTGCTGTATCATAGTAAAATATACTTTATATATTATGAAGTTATATTTATATTTATTACACCCGTGTACGCGTAGCACAACACAGGGTTATTGTTTTCACTCCTGTCCGAGTTTGTGCCATTCAAGTTGGTAATTGTTATTGTTAAATTAATTTTAACATAGTAGTAGTACCATTACAATTTTGTTTTCACTCCTGTCTGCGTTTGTGCCATTGTGCAATTCTAGTTGTTTATTTTTATTGTATCTGGCCATGTTATTGTTAAATGGAATTTTAATAAATTGTTAAATGAAATATGTTTTTATATTGAAATCAAATGAAATTAGTTTATTAATTTGTCAGTCATATTCTAATAAATTAGGCCATTATTATATGTCCTTGGCTGAACTTTACCATAGTCTAATATTACATTAACATTAAAATTATAATAATAATTAAAAATAGGAATGCTTATCAAAACTTAAATAAAGAACACAAAACATAACTTTTTCTGCATCAACAAAATCCATAAAGTCAGTCCTGTCACAGCACCGTCAGTCCTGTCACACAGGAAATTGTTATAAAAATGTAATATTTGAGGAAATATTGAAGAATTCATCTCTGTAACTGTGTAGATGAAGGTTGGAGTATATATCCACTACTATGTTTTTGAAAAAATTTCCTATGCAAAGGCAGTTTTTTTTACAACTATATGAGTGTCTGGCGGGGTATTCTGTGATTTTGTGTACTACAGTTGACCGAAAAGTTGCTTATATTCCTTATAGAAATTACAAAACCATGTTAGATACAATCAGGGACATGTGACCAATAAGAAAATGCTATTTGTATCAAAGAAATTCATTAGGAAACCATTCTAACATATACAAATTAGTCTGTGACAGGGCCTGACATTTTGGGAGTGAAATGCGTATAAAAATGTATTTATTTCAATCATTAAAACATGCTGAGATGGCGCGATATGTGTTTCATATATTAACATGTCCTCCATATGACTCAACGTTCAGATTTAAGAATAAGATATTTTTTTCACCCAAGATTTTTACAAGTGGAAATGTACATTTCTGGTAGAATGTCCCATGTGTCTATTTTTGTCTTTGATAATGAGTCCAAATTTGCAAACTGCATTTTTTTAAAAGTGCTTCATTGTTTACTTAATCACCTATTCATCCATTGCGTGGAAAGGAAACTTTAAGGTTCTATATGTCATTAAATAGGTATAAAGTTTCAGACTTTATCTCATAAATACTTTTTGCTCCGTTATGTTTTAAATTATGATAAAGGACTCTTTTCATTTGTAATAAATGGATTTGTTAATCAGTTAAAATCAGTTACTCTGTGGCCAATGTGACACATCTCGTGTAACTTCCTGTTTGGCTTTGAAATAACGAGGCTTGACCCGAAGGTGCAAGAATGTGACCACAGACTGCAGCAATAAGCTTGTGCTCACCTTGTTACTTGTGACATCATTTGGACAGCCTGCCACATGTCTGAAATAAACCGTTTAATGTTGAAATGCCATGTTCTCGTTTAAAATAATATTTTATAATTCATATAACTTTTGTTTGTTAAATTTATGCTACAAACTGGTTGCTAAAAATATTAAGAATTACAGCGCCATTAGGTGATATTTTAGCTTCTAGCTTCATTTAATTATGTATATATACATATACTATAGTATATATACTCTTTCCACTTCTGTTTCAGTTTTTTTTAATAATCTATTTCTTACTATGTGTCAGTAAGTTGTTGTTATTTTAGCATGTGTTTGCCTCAGTGTTATTTTTTTTAGGATAACTGATGAACTAATGTACTTTGATTTGTATTAGTTTTAGTTACAGTTGTAGTAATGTTGTCATTTTATTAGTTTTTTTATTATGTCTATGTAGGCTTTTTATTAAGTTTTACTTTTATTTATTTTGAGTTATTTCAGTACTTCAACATACAAAATAGAAATAAAATAATATATATATATATATATATATATATATATATATATATATATATATATAATGTATTTATAAATATGTACATGTGTGTGGCTGTACATACACATGTAGTTGTTTTTTGGTGTTTGGCTTAGTGTTATGTTAGAATCATTATTATACGCATACCTTTTTGTTCTTTTAATATTTTTGAATTGTTTTTAGTTTTATTTATTTATTTTATTTATTTTTTCCTTTAAATGTTTTAGTTTTGAAATGTTGTTGTATGCATTTGTCATTTTTATTTAATTTATTTCATTGTCTTAAATGTGTGTGTGTGTGTGTGTGTGTGTGTGTGTATGTGTATATATATATATATATATATATAGTATTTATAGACTTTTAGCTTTTAGTTTTAATTACTTTTCCTTATTTGTAAGTCGCTTTGGATAAAAGCGTCTGCTAAATGACTAAAAGTAAAGTAAAGTAAAATATATAAACACCAACCTATTAGAGCTGCTAAAACCTATTTTTAACTTTAAAACGCACTGATAACAACGCCACAATGGTGGTACAATAGAAACCCATAAAAATCCTTCAAAGCCTCAACTGTGCTTATTAATAAAATAAGGATAGCACAGAGTTCCTTTTTTTTAATTACATTTTTTAATAAAAAATAAAATGTAGGAATCATATGAATGCACCTTTCCCTATAAAATAAAAGTTCTTCATACTTTTTACTTAAAAAAAATTATTTTCCTCAATATTTAAGAGTAAAATTATAACCTTGTGTAAAAGAGGTCGACTTTAGTATACTTCGAGGACTTGCTATTTAAATAAGATACTTAAAAAGAACATACTTAAATGCAAGCTGGATGTAATTTTTCAGACACTTAAATGCATGTTATTTACAATTAAAAGAAAAAAAAATTATAGTGCAGATGTATGTGAATTAGTTGAATTTGAGCTGATTTTTGATCCACTTGATTATGACTTGAGTACATATTTATATATTGTTTCATTTTACAAGTGTTCTGCCAACTGTGATAAGCATTTATAGTAAACTAAAATATACGTGTTAAAAAAAAATTGTACTTTGCCAACGCATCAACATAAGTGTACTTCTTAAAGCACGACATCAGTGCACTTAAGTGTATTTTAGTGTGTTGCGAAAAATAGTTCTGGAAGTATAGCTACTTTTGAAGAACACGTTTAAAAGTGGCCTTTTATTTTATAAGTTAGGTTTTCACTTTATACATCTGTAACGCAAATACAACCAATTATATCCATTTGAAAATGTCCTCACGAACTTTCCTTCAAAATATGTAAATAGACAACTTTTGTACATCACCAATGTGACCAGAGCCCGTTCTGATTGGCCGGTTGTCACGGAGGCGGGGCTTCAGTGCAGTATTTTTCCCCCTCGTCCTATCATTGCTCCGCGCCGGTAAGGAGAGGCGATGGATGTTGCCTGCAAATTATGGGACTAAGATGAGTTTTGTTATTGTACCGGGAATGCTGATTTACGAAGGGAATAAAGTGCTGATTTTTAGACGGGAAATATTGGGATTTTCATGTATTCTGTACTGCCCCAATGAATGAGTCTGTGATAGTGCCGGGTGTCAAGCTGCGCAGGCCAGCGAATCAACTTGACTGCCGCGGTACATTGACATAGACTTTGTTTCACTCGCGCACCTTTTATTACTATTCCAGACATTGTCAGTCGCTGTCGTGTCATTACTAATGTTTACTCGCCATATAGAATTCACTTCCATATAGATTTTTTTACCGAGAGCATTTGTATTTCAGCAGCTTCAAGGCTCCTCAGCAGGTTTAGGAAAATGAAAGTTGCTGTGATTATTAGTGGAAACCTGGTTTTCACTCTAGTGGATGTTGTGGTCACCACAGTCTTGTATGTTCATGGATCAAGTCTTGATATATTTTCAGATGAATTAGAGGAATTTGACATACACCGCTCAACAGTGGACTTGTGGGGAACTGTTCTCATACGGGCCAGTCTTCTTTTCGGGGCCTCCGTCGGGGTGTTCTATAACAGGAGTGATGGTCCACAAAGGGTTTCAAACATGGGTACACTGGTTTCTCTCGTATGCCTTACCAACATGACTTATGCTCTTGCCAAGTTGTTGATGCTTTCTGAGGAGGGAGCTCTGATGTATGCCCCCTGGTTCCTAAGTTTGTTCTCCTGGACTTGCACATCAGCAATAGGCATCATGATCTCATGGAAGCTGCTGTCACAGACTCCCAATGCTGTATCTGAAAGAGAGGATAGCGAGGAGACGGAGAGGCTGGTGGATGGCATCGAGACAGAAGATGAGTCCAGTAAGAAGAGCAGGAAATCTAGGAAAGAGCATCCCCATTCAGGGGCCACAATTGGCCGTCTCTTGTCGTACTGTAAGAAGGACTCTGGTTTGCTGGCCATTGCTTTCTTCTTTCTTCTCCTCTCTGCTGTGTGTAAGTTCACTCTCATAGTTATGGCTTAAATATTCGAAGAAATTTAATAAATTAAGTAAACATCATAATTCAAGTGATATTTTATGAGTTAATCTTTTATTTATCTATCATTTGTGACAGTAAGTAATGCTAATGTTGGCCCAGCAGTCATTCTTAATAGACAATCTCATGGAATGTATAGTAAATGTACAGTAAGGTTGTATACATTAGCATCAGTTAACACAATATTTAACATGAACCAACAATGCTTTTAATGGACTAACAATGAACACTTACAGCAACATGAATCGTGATACATGATGCATTAAATATTTTTACTGCATAAGACCTTATTGTAAAGTGTTATGAAATGTATTTAACGTATAATGTCAATCTAGCTTTTGAGAGTTTGGACTGGAACTGGAATTTTTCTTTTAGTTATCAAAACACAACCTCTCACTGTCTTTATTTTTTTTTACATAAAGTATCTTATGCCAATGTCAAGGCTGCATTTATTTGATCAAAAATAAAGTAAAACAGTAATATTGTTAAGTATTATTACAATTTAAAAGAATGATTTCTATTTTAAAATATAATTTATTCCTGTGATGGCCAAGCTGAATTTTTTTTAGCATTCATTACTCCAGTCTTCAGTGTCACATGATCCTTCAGAAATCATTCTAATATGCCGATTTGATGCTTATGAACATTTTTATTATTATATCAATGTTTTTATGTATTATTATATCAACCAAACTTTTGAAAAGTAGTGTGTATAATTTTATACACACATTTTATATACATTTTAATCATATTCACTACAGCAGTTGTGGATTTCCAAACCTAACGGTCTGAGTACAGTTAGATTGCACATCATTGCAGTGTTATGATTGTGCTAATCTTTACTCTAGTTATTACATGCTTGTGAATGGCTTGATTTGTCATACTTAGATGGTAGCACATCTAGCACATTATATTGTTTGACATATTGTTTTCATCTCTAGTGTTTATCAGCTTTAATTTTCCTCCCCATAGGTGAAGCTTTTATACCTTATTACACGGGGCAAGCGATAGATGGCATAGTTATCCAGAAAAGCATGGATCATTTCGCCAAACCATTGATTAATCTCACTGTTTTGGCTTTGGTCAGGTGAGCAGTTCAATTAATATTTTTTATAGACAGTAGTGCTATTTATCACAATTTTATTTTTATTTATTTATTTATTTTGTAGCTCCATAGGCACTGGGTTTCGTGGAGGTGTCTTTTCCGTCACCTTTGCCAGGTTAAACATTCGACTTCGGAACCTTCTCTTTAGATCACTAATGCATCAGGAGATTGGGTTCTTTGATGCCAACCATACAGGTAATGTTATGGCTGCAATTATAGCCCTAATCAAACGTAGTTATTTTGTTCCTTATATTTGTAAATATGTATGTAGGCCTATAATTTCCCAAGAAATTACAAAAGAAAGGCAACACAGCACTTTCTAGATATTCTTCAAACAGACTCCACCCATTTTGTTTTGTAGATTTCATCATTAGATTTACGATCTAATTGTATTTTTGCCAGTTTTATTTATTTTTAAAGCAATTTAAGATTCAAGTCTGAAAATTTCTCTTTGGCCTCATTGATAGAATGGTCAGCATTCTACAATTTATAAATCGAGGGAACGAAATAGTAAATCGTGCACACAATTTAGCCTACTATTTTTTTCCTGCATGCCATGTATAGCATTCAAAATGTAATCAACAGCAAATGGCCAATAGGCTATCACCATTATATTCAAAAAAAAAATCATTGGTGTCAGTCTGAGCAATGATACCAATTTTTGTTCTCTCTCTCTTCCTTCCTTTTTTTGTAACGTTTTTATCTATAGGTCTCTGAGTTGGCCTTGCAAGTAGCAATCCTGTTTTATGGAGGCCACCTAGTGGTGACAAATCAGATGAGCGGAGGGACCCTTATTTCCTTTATCATCTATGAGCTGGAGCTGGGAGAGGCCCTGGAGGTATAGTGTTTTTCTTTTAATATGTGTGTGCGTGATACTCATATGATGAATCTGAAATACCAAGTCTTACTCTCTGTTCTTTTTACAGAGTATATCGTCAGTGTACACAGGTCTGATGCAAGGCGTTGGCGCTGCAGAGAAAGTGTTTGAATATATTGACAGGAAACCTAAACATACCCTTGATGGTCGAGAAACTCCAGAGACATTAGAAGGGCAGGTGGAATTCAAAAATGTGACATTTGCATATCCAACACGGCCAGAGATGGATATATTAAAGGTATTCTTTACTGAAGGTAGACTTTAGATAGAAGGTTACTGACTAACAGCAAAGTATAACACTATAACCTAACCAGGCATAATTCAAATTGTTGTTTGTTTCTGACCATATAAGATATGTTCTGATTCATTGGCTGTGATTATGTCACATTGCGCCACACTGTCACAGATAAATCGCTTGTTGCTGGAATCCTATTGCATCATACCTATTTATGTGTAAGGGCTGATTAACGTTAGTGATTTTGGCTAAAAACACAAAGGTTAAACACCTGATTAACGTCAGGTAGAAATAACCTATGAACCACAGAATTATTGAGATACTTTATGACAGTTACTTGTGCCCCTGAGTGTAATTCTTAAACTAGGTTGGCTACAGTTGACGTAAGTGGGGTGTAGCGATGCAGTTAGTGTATTGCAAGTGCATTTGAATGCTACGTTTATTTGTTTTCTCTCTGATATGCTAGTGAAGCAGTAACATAATTCCTAGACATAAGAAGGAAACTAAACCCACATTTTCTTCTCAGAATGTATCCTTCAGTCTTCGCCCAGGGCAAGTAACTGCACTGGTAGGGCCCTCTGGTGGTGGAAAAAGCTCCTGTGTGTGTTTGTTGGAGAACTTCTATGCCCCTCAGCAAGGCCAAGTGCTAGTGGACGGCCGACCTGTGAAAACCTACCACCACAAATATTATCACTCTAAGGTGGGATATATGCTGAGGCTGATCTGTCATACTGCATTTCGAAAAGATACATTATTTTTGTAAATACACTTTTAGAATTTTAATTAGTTTTATCGATACTTGTATTGTTTTCAATGCAGCCTGTAGTACATTATATGACCTTAAGAGGGCAGTAGTTGCTGATAATGCAAATAGTGGTGAAGTGGCCTAACCAAAAGCAAATTAGAGATGTAAGTGCTTTGTTTTTTAATAGGTAGCACTGGTGAGCCAGGAGCCTGTTCTATTTGCCCGCACTGTTCAGATGAATATATCCTATGGTGTACCTGAAGCTCGCATGGAAGCGGTCATCAGAGCAGCCATTAATGCCAATGCACATGACTTCATAACCAGCCTCTCCAAAGGCTATGAAACTGGTTTGTTATTATATTATATTATATATTTTATTTATATTAAATTATACTATATTATATATTTTTGTATTTATTTTTTATTTTAAATGTATTAATATTATATTAATTTTACATTATAAGTGTAAACACTCAAATTTTAAGCCATGTTCAGAAATTTACATTTCTGATGTTAATGCCTTATGCATTGCCATAATGACCACAGTAGATATTCATATACTGTACATATTTAGCTTAATTTGATGTTTTTCCACTTATTTGTACCACAATTTGGTTCAGTTAGATGGTATTCTAGGCATGTTCACAGCTTTGAGTTGATTTGAGTTATATTATATTATAATGTATTAAATATTTTTGTATTTATTTGTTTAATAATATTATATTTATTTTACATGATATGTGTACTAAAACAGAAAAAGATTTTGTAACAGAGTTTGGCTGATAATTCAGTTTATCAGTTAATTACTTGTATTAGTTATTTATTTTAATTTTAGTTACATTATGTCTGAATTTATTATGTCTGAATAGGTCTTTTATTAAGTTTTTAGTTTTTATTTAATTTGAGTTATTTTAATACTTCAACAAACTAAATAGAAATTAAATAATATATATATTGAATTTATAAATGTGTATGTATACTGTATATACAGTGTATATGTATGTGTGTGTGGTTGTACATACACATATGTAGTTGTTTTTTTGGTGTTTGGCTTCGTGTTATGTTAGAATCATTATTATACTCTTATACCTTTTGTTCTTTATTATTTTGAATTGTTTTTAGCATTATTCTTTGTTTTTCATTTAAATGATAAGTTTTGAAATTTTGTTGTATGCATTTGTCATTTTTATTTAATCTCTTTATTTTTAAAATGTGTATAGGTAGTATTTATCAAGTTTTAGCTTTTAGTTTTGGATCTGTTCTCAGTTGTTTTAATACTACAATTAATTGCGTCTGTTGTCCTCATTTGTAAGTCGCTTTGGATAAAAGCGTCTAATAAATGACTAAATAAATAAATAATTCATCCTGCTGCTCTGTCTTCTGTCTGCTATAGGGGTTGGAGAGAAGGGCACTCAGCTGTCTGGTGGGCAAAAACAGAGAGTTGCCATTGCTCGGGCTCTCATCAGAAACCCTAGCATTCTCATTTTGGATGAAGCCACAAGTGCACTGGATTCAGAAAGCGAATACATAGTAAGTGATGACTATTACATTGAAAGTCTGTGGCTTAAGTGAACATTCATTTTCAGTCTTGCATTAGACTTCATTTGTGTTGTTACTTTGTTTTTAGGTTCAGCAGGCTCTGAACAACTTAATGCGAGAACGCACGGTTTTAGTGATTGCCCACAGACTGAGCACAGTGGAAAGAGCAGACAACATCCTAGTGATCGACAAAGGCTGTGTGGTGGAGCAGGGCCCACATGCAGAACTCATGGCCAGGGGAGGCCTCTACTGTAAGCTGGTGCAGAGGCAGATGGGGACTGAAATAGATGCAGATGTTCACCACCCATCACCAGCCCCACCATGGGAGCTGAAGGAAGGAGATAAGGAGAGTGCAGAGGACTGTAGCGACACTGAGCATGAAGCACACTACTAAGACACTACTAAGAAGAGTTGAAATGTGCTTCACTAACCTAATCCTAGGTTGATTTTTTAAAGGGGTCATATGATGCAATTTCAAGTTTTCCTTTCTCTTTGGAGTGTTACAAGCTGATTGTGCATAGATAAGATCCCTGAAGTTGCAAAGACTAAAGTCTCAAAACCAAAGAGATATTCTTTATCAAAGTTAAGACTCTGCCACGCCTCCCTAAAACGAAATATAATTTGTAGAAAACGAAGCATTTGAGAGAGGCGGGGCATAGGGGACCTACAATAATGTACAGTATTTGAAAAATAATGTGTTTTTTGAACATTAAAGCATGTCAACATATTCTGTTACACCAAATACACAAAATAATGATCTTTAAAAAAGCATCATATGACCCCTTTAAATATTTTATTTATTCTTATCTTGGGATATATCACATGTTTTGCATGTTAAACAGTGTGTTTACTAGACAGGGGTACTGCCTTGAATAAAGCTTTAAGGAATATATACTTGATGTACTGTATTATTTGTTTCAAATCTAAATATCTTAAATAGTACAAACATATTAAACTTATTTATGAAAAAGAACAAAAACGAATTGATCGACAAATAATTGTTAACATTTTTTTTAAATGTCCCATATACTACTAATACAGTTAATATTGTATAGTTTATAGTATTTATTAATATAAAGAATTTTGTCATGTGATTTCGACAGTTTTTTAAAATGATATTTTTATCCTTTTTTTGTATTTTTAGTATTTAAACTGATTTTATCTCTGTTTTCTCATTTCTAATTTTTGTTTAATGTTTTCTTTCACCTGTATTATTTTATGATATATTTTTAGTTAACAATAACACCACTGAAGATTGCGATTTTTTTTGCAACTAAAAGATTTATTACAAAAAAAAGCATGTTATCAGTTTTATGCAGTGTAACGCACAAACGTATGTTTTACCCATTTTGAAAGACATGAGAAATGCATCATTTTGGAGAAGGTTTGTGAGCATCAAATTAAAGAGACCTTACAGCGATGTACCGGTTGACGTCACGCATCTCCTCCTGTAGTCTTCCGGCTGAAAATAATAACAGCTTTGCCCAGACAGAGTCAGCCCGAGCGCGAGCCGCTGAGTTCGAAGTGTGAAAGACACCGCTGTGCCAGACATGGCTGGCTTTGTGAATAAGTTGAGTTCTTACACTTTAACTCAGTTAAACGAACTGCTCGAAGATGACGAGAAACTCAACAAATTTATCGACGACTCGGAAGAGGTAAGTTTCTTTTTCTCGTGAAGAGCGCCGCGAAGTTACCGTGGCGAGTTGATTTGGATTTCAAAAAGCACCATTTTATACAGATGTAGGCCGTGTTTATTTTTATATAAATATATTTTTGAATGGCTTGTTTTAAAATTACGACGTCATTACATTTTATTGGGAACTGTTTAAATTGGAAGGTTTCTGCGCGTGACTTCAGCTTGGTTTGTTTTTGACGTCGCGGAATTGAACAACATATTTTCAGTTACTTAAGCCAAAGTTACCTTATCACTGAAGCAGAATCTGCTCGACCAGCCTTATCTAATAATGCACATGAGTTCGGAATATGCATTTGTCCTGTAGAGTCTGTTGTGTTTGTATTTCACCCATCAGTGATGCAAGCCATTTTCTCGTGATCCTCCTTTGCTGAAATTATTACTAACGTTGGTCTTGTGTAAATTATATTTTTATTAGTAAGTAATTTTTTTGTAGAGCTTCACTTTTTGTTACTTTTATGAAAACATGTGTCACTGTCATGTCTTTAAGGAAACCTTGGCAATCAGAGCATGAGACTTTTTATACTAGTTTTTATGATGCCAAGCACTAGCAATATTTTCCGGAAACATTTATTGATCGTTTGCATTGCATATTTTTAATTTAAAAATAAACATTATTTTTTTGCTGTTTTTATTGATTATAACACTAGTATTTCAGGAGCATAATGTATTAATTTGATTTTTTGTTAAAACAGCATATTGACAGTTGATTAGAGGTAATTCGATTTTTTGATCAAAGTTTCATATGAATTATAATTGCTGATGCATAAACATATTCACATCTCATGAGACAACATACTGAGCTTTGCCAATGCACACAATATCAGTACCCTTCTGACTTGCTGTGCAAGTTCAACGTTTGCTCAGTTGTGTTTGCATATCGTCAATTAGATAGTATTCTGGGCATGTTCACAGTTTTGAGTTGATTTGACCTCCAAATTCATTGAAAGATGTCAGCCTTGAATCGGTATGTGTCATGGGAGCATGTTTGATCTGGCAGTATTATAATTTAGTGCTATAAAAGGGGATTTTTCTTTTCCAGGCCAAATAATTTATTTAGAAGGAATTTTCTTAACTGCTTATCTGTGGCTGTTTAAATAAACATCTTTCTTAAATGTACGCATTCTTAAATATTGGCTTTCACTGAAATTGGTAACTGACAGAAATGGGT